CCAGGTTGGTCAGTATGGGAACTTAGAGTGCAAATGCCAGGGAGAACAGAAGCACTCAGATCTCGCATAGTACACGGAATCAAGTGGTCTCACTCAAATAGAAGGTAGGAAATCAATTCATCTAGTGAACGTAAGGGTTTGAAAGGTAACTAACGCACAAGTTTAGAGAAAATGGTGCATCGGCCAGTCTGGCCGGCATTTCGCACTTATAGTGCAAGTAGGGCCAAGGAGAACGGAAACGCTCATTTCTCAAAAAGTAAAGGGAATCTAGCGGTCTCACTCGATCAGAAGGTGGGAAATATATAAATCTAGTGAGCTAAAAAGGTTCGGAAGGAATCTAATGCATATGTATATGGAAAGTGGTGCATTGGCCAGGTCGGTCAGTATGGGAACTTAGAGTGCAAATGCCTAGGAGAACGGAACCGCTCAGATCTCGCATATTACACGGAATCTAGTGGTCTCACTCAAATATAAGGTAGGAAATATCTTCATCTAGTGAACGTAAGGGTTTGAAAGGTAACTAACGCACAAGTGTAGAGAAAATGGTGCATCGGCCAGTCTGGCCGGCATTTCGCACTCATAGTGCAGGTGGGGTCAGGGAGAACGGAAACGGTCGTTTCTCAAAAAGTAGAGGGAATCTAATGGTCTCACTCGATCAGAAGGTGGGAAATATATAAATCTAGTGAGCTAATAAGGTTTGAAGGAATCTAATGCATATGTATATGGAAAATGGTGCATTGGCCAGGTTGGTCAGTATGGGAACTTAGAGTGCAAATGCCCGGGAGAACGGAAGCACTCAGATCTCGCATAGTACACGGAATCTAGTTGTCTCACTCAAATAGAAGGTTGGAAATCAATTCATCTAGTGAACGTAAGGGTTTGAAAGGTAACTAACGCACAAGTTTAGAGAAAATGGTGCATCGGCCAGTCTGGCCGGCATTTCGCACTTATAGTGCAAGCAGGGCCAAGGAGAACGGAAACGCTCGTTTCTTAAAAAGTAAAGGGAATCTAGCGGTCTCACTCGATCAGAAGGTGGGAAATATATAAATCTAGTGAGCTAATAAGATTCGGAAGGAATCTAAGGCATATGTGTATGGAAAGTGGTGCATTGGCCAGGTCGGTCAGTATGGGAACTTAGAGTGCAAATGCCAGGGAGAACGGAAACGCTCAGATCTCGCATAGTACACGGAATCTAGTAGCCTCACTCAAATAGAAGGTAGGAAATAAATTCATCTAGTGAACGTAAGGGTTTGAAAGGTAACTAATGCACATGTGTAGAGAAAATGGTGCATCGGCCAGTCTGGCCGGCATTTCGCACTTATAGTGCAACTAGGGCCAAGGAGAACAGAAACGCTCATTTCTCAAAAAGTAGAGGGAATCTAGCGGCCTCACTCGATCAGAAGGTGGGAAATATTTAAATCTAGTGAGCTAATAAGGTTTCAAAAGGAATCTAATGCATATGTATATGGAAAATGGTGCATTGGCCAGGTCGGTCAGTATGGGAACTTAGAGTGCAAATGCCAGGGAGAACGGAAGCGCTCAGATCTCGCATAGTACACGGAATCAAGTGGTCTCACTCAAATAGAAAGTAGGAAATAAATTCATCTAGTGAACGTAAGGGTTTGAAAGGTAACTAACGCACATGTGTAGAGAAAATTGTGCATCGGCCAGTCTGGCCGGCATTTCGCACTTATAGTGCAACTAGGGCCAAGGAGAACGGAAACACTCATTTCTCAAAAAGTAGAGGGAATCTAGCGGTCTCACTCGATCAGAAGGTGGGAAATATATAGATCTAGTGAGCTAATAAGGTTCGAAAGGAATCTAATGCATATGTATATGGAAAATGGTGCATTGGCCAGGTCGGTCAGTATTGGAACGTAGAGTGCAAATGCCAGGGAGAACGGAAGCGCTCAGATCTCGCATAGTACACGGAATCTAGTGGTCTCACTCAAATAGAAGGTAGGAAATAAATTCATCTAGTGAACGTAAGGGTTTGAAAGGTAACTAACGCACATGTGTAGAGAAAATGGTGCATCGGCCAGTCTGGCCAGCATTTCGCACTTATAGTGCAGTAGGGCCAAGGAGAACGGAAACGCTCATTCCACAAAAAGTAAAGGGAATCTAGCGATCTTACTCGATCAAAAGGTGGGAAATATATAAATCTAGTGAGCTAATAAGGTTCGGAAGGAATCTAATGCATATGTATATGGAAAGTGGTGCATTGGCCAGGTCGGTCAGTATGGGAACTTAGAGTGCAATTGCAAGGGAGAACGGAAGCGCTCAGCTCTCGCATAGTACACGGAATCAAGTGGTCTCACTCAAATAGAAAGTAGGAAATATATTCATCTAGTGAACGTAAGGGTTTCAAAGGTAACTAACGCACATGTGTAGAGAAAATGGTGCATCGGCCAGTCTGGCCGGCATTTCGCACTTATAGTGCAAGTAGGGCCAAGGAGGACGGAAACGCTCATTTCTCAAAAAGTAAAGGGAATCTAGCGGTCTCACTCGATCAGAAGGTGGGAAATATATAAATCTAGTGAGCCAATAAGGTTTGAAAGGAATATAATGCATATGTATATGGAAAATGGTGCACTGGCCAGGTCGGTCAGTATGGGAACTTAGAGTGCAAATGCCAGGGAGAACGGAAGCGCTCAGATCTCGCATAGTACACGGAATCTAGTAGCCTCACTCGAATAGAAGGTAGGAAATAAATTCATCTAGTGAACGTAAGGGTTTGAAAGGTAACTAACGCACATGTGTAGAGAAAATGGTGCATCGGCCAGTCTGGCCGGCATTTCGCACTTATAGTGCAACTAGGGCCAAGGAGAACAGAAACGCTCATTTCTCAAAAAGTAGAGGGAATCTAGCGGCCTCACTCGATCAGAAGGTGGGAAATATTTAAATCTAGTGAGCTAATAAGGTTTCAAAAGGAATCTAATGCATATGTATATGGAAAATGGTGCATTGGCCAGGTCGGTCAGTATGGGAACTTAGAGTGCAAATGCCAGGGAGAACGGAAGCGCTCAGATCTCGCATAGTACACGGAATCAAGTGGTCTCACTCAAATAGAAAGTAGGAAATAAATTCATCTAGTGAACGTAAGGGTTTGAAAGGTAACTAACGCACATGTGTAGAGAAAATTGTGCATCGGCCAGTCTGGCCGGCATTTCGCACTTATAGTGCAACTAGGGCCAAGGAGAACGGAAACACTCATTTCTCAAAAAGTAGAGGGAATCTAGCGGTCTCACTCGATCAGAAGGTGGGAAATATATAGATCTAGTGAGCTAATAAGGTTCGAAAGGAATCTAATGCATATGTATATGGAAAATGGTGCATTGGCCAGGTCGGTCAGTATTGGAACGTAGAGTGCAAATGCCAGGGAGAACGGAAGCGCTCAGATCTCGCATAGTACACGGAATCTAGTGGTCTCACTCAAATAGAAGGTAGGAAATAAATTCATCTAGTGAACGTAAGGGTTTGAAAGGTAACTAACGCACATGTGTAGAGAAAATGGTGCATCGGCCAGTCTGGCCGGCATTTCGCACTTATAGTGCTGTAGGGCCAAGGAGAACGGAAACGCTCATTCCACAAAAAGTAAAGGGAATCTAGCGATCTTACTCGATCAAAAGGTGGGAAATATATAAATCTAGTGAGCTAATAAGGTTCGGAAGGAATCTAATGCATATGTATATGGAAAGTGGTGCATTGGCCAGGTCGGTCAGTATGGGAACTTAGAGTGCAAATGACTGGGAGAACGGAACCGCTCAGATCTCGCATAATACACGGAATCTAGTGGTCTCACTCAAATATAAGGTAGGAAATATATTCATCTAGTGAACGTAAGGGTTTGAAAGGTAACTAACGCACATGTGTAGAGAAAATGGTGCATCGGCCAGTCTGGCCGGCATTTCGCACTCATAGTGCAAGTAGGGCCAAGGAGAACGGAAACGCTCATTTCTCAAAAAGTAAAGGGAATCTAGCGGTCTCACTCGATCAAAAGGTGGGAAATATATAAATCTAGTGAGCTAATAAGGTTCGGAAGGAATCTAATGCATATGTATATGGAAAGTGGTGCATTGGCCAGGTCGGTCAGTATGGGAACTTAGAGTGCAAATGCCTGGGAGAACGGAACCGCTCAGATCTTGCATAATACACGGAATCTAGTGGTCTCACTCAAATATAAGGTAGGAAATATATTCATCTAGTGAACGTAAGGGTTTGAAAGGTAACTAACGCACATGTGTAGAGAAAATGGTGCATCGGCCTGTCTGGCCGGTATTTCGCACTTATAGTGCAACTAGGGCCAAGGAGAACGGAAACGCTCATTTCTCAAAAAGTAAAGGGAATCTAGCGGTCTCACTCGATCAAAAGGTGGGAAAAATATAAGTCTAGTGAGCTAATAAGGTTTGGAGGGAATCTAATGTCAGATTACTATAGCTGATGCATGTTTGTAGGCTATAGTGGGGTAGCACATATGGGGTAGAGCCTTTCTAGGGTTGTATTTGTACCCAACTCTGACTTAGTCAATTCATTCCTGTTTACCTATTCTCACATGGTATAGAGCGGGTCCCTCTTAAGGACCGATTTTTTAGGGCCCACCCACGAATTTCTCTCTGCTCGGAGCGCGCCCTACTCTCCCCGAGGCGCGCTCCCCCTTAGTGCGTTTCGCGCTGCCCTTGTGGGCCCCCGCAGGTCGCGCGCGCAAATTGTTTTTTTTTAGCGCGCGCGGCTCGGGCCCACGTCGCGCGGGCTTTACGGCCGCGCTGCGCCGCCCTCTCGGCCCGGCTGCGCCCCGCCGCCCTCGAACCGGCCACGCGGCCGCTTCGTCGCGGCCGCGGGCCCCGCTTTTGACGGCCCCGCCGTTCGTTTTTGACGGCCCCGCCGTCCCTTTTTTGACGGCCCGCGGTTGCATCAGCCGGCCCCGCCGTTTCCTGTCACGGCCCCGCCGTCCCCTCTCCCGGCCCCGCCGCTGCACCTTCACGGCCCGCCGCCGAGCCCTGATGGCCCCGCCGCTGCACCCTGACGGCCCGCCACTGCACCCGTCCCGGCCCTGCCGGCGCACCTTTGTTGGCCCCGCCACTGCACACCCGGCCCCGCCGTCCCCTGTCCCGGCCCGCCGCTGCACCTGTCCCGGCCCGCCGCTGCACCTTTCCCGGCCCGCCACTGCACCTGTCCCGGCCCCGCCGGCCTCTGTCCCGGCCCGCCGCTGCACCCCTACAGGCCCCGCCGCTGCATACCCGGCCCCGCCGCCCACTGACGGCCCCGCCGTCCCTTATCCCGGCCCCGCCGCTGCACCTTGACGGCCCCGCCGTCCCCTGTCCCGGCCCCGCCGCTGCACCCTGACGGCCCCGCCGCCCCTTATCCCGGCCCCGCCGCTACACCTTGACGGCCCCGCCACTACACTGCAGCAGGGCCACCCGGGAGCAGCCGGACCGCCCAGCAGCAGCCGGACCGCCCAGCAGCAGCCGGACCGCCCAGCAGCAGCCGAGCCGCCCAGCAGCAGCCGAGCCGCCCAGCAGCAGCCGGACCGCCCAGCAGCAGCCGAGCCGCCCAGCAGCAGCCGAGCCGCCCATCAGCAGCTGAGCCGCCCAGCAGCAGCCGAGCCGCCCAGCAGCAGCCGGACCGCCCAGCAGCGGCCGAGCCGCCCTACGCCGAGCCGCCCGGGAGCCGAGCCGCTGTGCACCTGAGCTGCACGACCTGCCCTGCCTGGTGAGCACAGTCCCTCTGTCACTGCGCCCTCTTTCCCTACTGCTTGCACTGCTTCGCTGTCGTCGCCATGGCTACCCCTAGTGTCCTAGCCTTTGACGCCGAGGGTCGCGCCATTGATTTTGAGGTCTGGCTAGACGACCTGCAGCTGTTCTTACAGTGCGACAGAGCTGACGGCCTTTCTCTCTTTGACCTCACCTCTGGCGCCTCTCCTGCTCCTGCTGCCGATGCTGATCCCACTGTTCGCTCTCAGTGGGCCACTCGCGATGCTGCTGCACGTCTTGCTGTGCGTCGCCACCTCCCTACCTCTGAGCGTGCGCACTTTAGTCAGTACAAGAGTGCTCAGACCTTGTACGACGCTGTAGTTGCGCGCTACTCCTCCCCTGCCACTGCTGCACTGAGCCGTCTCATGCTTCCCTACCTCTTTCCTGACCTCTCTGCCTTTCCCACTGTCGCTGACCTCATTACGCACCTCCGCACTAGTGACACTCGCTACCGCGCCGCCCTTCCTGCTGAGTTCTGCGCTAAGAACCCCCCCCCCCATGTACATCACTCTCTACTACGTAGTCGCACGCCTCCCTGACTCCCTTCGTGTAGTCAGGGACCACTTTCTCGCAGTCTGTCCCACCACTCTCACCGTCGACCTCCTCGAGAAGGCCCTCCTCTCAGCTGAGAAGAGCATAGTTGCTGTAGGGGCTTCTCGTGGTGACCCTCGCACCCCCATCTTTGAGGGGTGCTCTCCTTCCCCCTTGCTGCCCTCTGTTGCCTCTGCTGCTGCTGCCGACCTGCTTGGTCTTGAGTCGGTCGGCGCGGCGTCTGCCCCTAGTGGGAGACGTCGCTCCAGCAAGGGCAAGGGGGGCAAGGGCGCGGGTGGAGCTGGAGGGAGCGGTGGAGGTGGCGGCGGTGGCGGCGGCGGGAGTGGGGGTGGCGGCGGGAGTAGTGGTGGTGGTGGTGGTGGTGGCAGCAGCGGCGGAGACGGTGGTGGTAGTGGCGGCGGTGGTGGAAGTGGCAGCGGCGGAGGTGGAGGCGGCGGAGGTGGAGGCGGTGGAGGCGGTGGAGGCGGCGGCGGAGGAGCAGGAGGTGGTGGAGGGAGCGGAGCTGGTCGGGGTGGTACCCAGCAGCGTAGTGGCGGTGGTGGTGGCCAGCGCTCGCAGCGGCAGCAGCAGCAGCGCTCGCGGGACATCCCTCCGCCCCAGCAGCTTCGTGAGTGGTACGCTGGGCATCAGAGGGGTGGGGGTACTGGTCCCTGCACCTACGTTCTTCGTTCCGGCGACCGCGCGGGTGAGCAGTGTGGGGGTGCCCACGCCACCCTGCGCTGCTTTGGCCGCCTGACGGACGCTTGGCGTCAGCAGTTCCCCGGGGCTAGTGAGATCCCTCGTTGGGATGAGCTCCTTAGGGCGGGTGTAGCGATCTTTGATCTTGATTATGATGCTATCCTTGCTGCTATGTATGCTGTGACTTATAGTGAGGAGAATGAGGGTTACCGGTGTTTCCAGCCCGACCCGGGCATTGGTACTGCTGCGCTAGGTGCTTGTGAGGCTGCTGCTCTAGGTGCCAGTGCGTCTGCGCTCTCAGGTACTGGTGAGACTGCGCTTTCAGGTACAGGGTCGCCCTCGTCCTCCCTCACTTTCACACTTGACTCCGGAGCTTCTCGCTCCTTCTTTCGAGACCGCACTACCCTTACGCCTCTTGGCCGACCGGTTGCGGTCTCCCTTGCTGACCCTTCTGGGGGTCCTGTCCTGTCTCACTTCTCCACTGTCCTCCCGTGTCCGGCTGCCCCTTCGGGTGCCCTGTCTGGTCTGTACCTTCCCTCGTTCTCTACGAACTTGGTGAGTGGAGCAGCCCTACAGGATGCGGGGGTTCACCAGTTCACTCCTGCGAGTCAGCGGGTGACCCACTGCACGGACGCACGCACAGGCCGACACCTGGCCACGTTCTCGCGTCGGCCGGGGTCGAGTCTCTACACCCTGACCACTTCGTCTCCTCCTGTCCCTGCATCCGGTCAGGTAGCTGCGTCAGGTCAGGTGCTTGCTGCTGCGTCCCGGTCAGGTCGTGAGTCTGCCCCCTGTTCTTGTCGCCTCCTGTCTCACGAGACGCTCCTGTGGCACCACCGTCTTGGCCACCCCTCCTCGCCCCGTCTTCGGAGCATGGCCTCTCGTGTCCTTGTCTCTGGTCTTCCCCGGTCTCTCCCTCCCCCCCCCCTCCGGGCCAGGACCTTCCTGTGTCCCCTGTGTCAAGGGTCGCCTCCGGGCTACTCCTCACTCCTCCCACTTCCCCCCGACAGAGGCTCCCCTGCAGACGCTTCACATGGATGTGTGGGGCCCGGCCCCCGTCCGTGGACAGGGTTACGAGCGCTACTTCCTGTTGGTGGTTGACGACTACTCGCGTTACACCACAGTCCTCCCCTTGCGCAGCAAGGGTGCGGTCACTGAGGTGCTGATCGACTGGATCCGCGAGGCTCGTCTCCAGCTCAGGAAGAGCTTCGGCTCGGACTTTCCTGTTCTGCGTCTGCACTCGGACAGAGGCGGAGAGTTCTCCTCTCGCCTTCTGCGAGACTACTGTCGTGCACGGGGGATCCGCCAGACCTTCACGCTTCCGGACTCTCCACAGCAAAATGGGATTGCTGAGCACCGCATTGGCATGGTCATGGATGTCGCTCGTACGTCCATGATGCATGCGGCTGCCCCCCACTTTCTGTGGCCGTTTGCGGTGAGGTACGCGGCGCATCAGCTCAACCTTCACCCCCGGGTCTCTAGGCCTGCGATGTCCCCCGCCTTGCTGTGGACGGGGAAGGTTGGCGATGCGTCTGCGTTCCGTGTCTGGGGATCTCGGGCGTTTGTCCGCGACTTGTCTGTGGACAAGCTGTCCCCTCGTGCTGCTCCCTGTGTCTTCCTTGGCTTCCCCACTGACGCCCCAGGGTGGCAGTTTTACCACCTCTCCTCTCGTCGTGTTCTGTCCTCCCAGGACGTCACGTTCGACGAGTCAGTCCCCTTCTACCGTCTCTTCCCCTACCGCACTCCTTCCCTCCCCCCTCCCCCGGACTTCCTTGTGCCGGTTCCCCCCCCAGTAGACCCCCTTCCTCCTCAGGTTCCTGCCCCCTCAGGTGTGTCCCAGGTAGATGCCGTTGACCCGGTCGAGGTTACTGGTGACTCTGGTCCTGCTGCGGGTGCTGAGCCTGGGGGTGCTGACTCTGGGGGTGCTGTGCGCCGGGGTGCTGAGCCTGAGGGTACTGGGCCTGGGGGTGCTACTGCGGAGGGTGCGGAGCCTGGGGGTGCTGAGCCGGGGGGTGCTGTGCCTGGAGGTGTTGGGTCTGGGGGTGCTGGGTCGGGAGCTGCTGAGCCTGGGGGTGCTGAGCTGGGAGCTGCTGAGCCTGGGGGTGCTGCGTCTGGAGCTGCTGAGCCTGGGGGTGCTGCGTCTGGAGCTGCTGAGCCTGGGGTTTCTCCTGCTGCTGCGCCTCGCCGGGAGCCCCTCTCTCCACAGGAGCTGCGCGAGTGGTTCGCTCGCCGCTGGAGGCGTGCTGCTGAGTCTGGGGGTGCTGCTGGAGCTGGAGCTTCTTCGACCGTCGAGGGTGCTGGTCCGGAGCTGCTGGGCCTGCGGGTCCTCCTGGAGCTGGAGCTGCTGAGGGTGTTGGTGCTGAGACTACTGCTATTGGTCCTGCCGCTGGAGGAGTGGGTGACGCTGGTGCTGTCTCTGAGGGTGCTGGTGCTGTTCCTGCTGCGTCTGGAGCTGCCGCGCGGCCTCGGCCGTACTTCGTTCCGCTCCTGCAGCAGGTTCTTGGTCTTTCTCCTCCAGTAGAGGGTCCACCGCCTGTCCAGTCGCAGTCCCTGCTGGAGCCTTCCTCTCCACTGCCTGCTCCCTCTCCTTACACTGGTCCTACTGGAGGTCTTGCTGAGCGTCGTGAGCCCGCGTCTCGTCCCGCGTCGCCTGTTCGTCCTGCTCGCGCTAGTGGTCGCAGTTCGCGTCAGCGTCCTCCTCCTGTCCCTGGCACGCACCGGATGTCTTTGCGTCCGTCCACTGCTCCCCTGCGTGCCCCTTTGCCTTCTCCTCCTGAGTCCTCTCTTCCTGCGCTTGCCGACCCTGAGTCGGACTCTCTTCGTGCTGCCAGTCCTACTGTCACGCGTCTGCTTGCTACTGTCGTCACCGACCCCTCTTTTGAGTCCACTGCTGCGTCTGCTCTTGTCGCTGAGCTCGTCGACTTTGCTGCTCGCTGTCGTCTAGACTACGCTGCTAGTCTTGTTGCTGAGTCAGCGTCTGTCTGTCCTCCGTCCGTCGGGGGTGAGTGTGCTCTTGGCACGGACGTCCTAGAGGACAGGCAGGAGGAGTTACAGTGTCTAGCGGTTGCTTCACCTCATCTTGCGTCTGTACTGCTTGCCCCTGAGGGAGACCCGGATGCACTAGACATCCCGACTCCGCGTTCTTACGCGGAGGCCGTAGAGGGTCCCTACTCCTCTCAGTGGCAGGCAGCTATGGATGCAGAGATGGCTTCCTGGAAGTCCACAGGCACCTACGTTGACGCGGTTCCCCCTCCTGGGGCGAACATTGTCAGTGGCATGTGGATCTTCAGGGTGAAGCGGCCGCCGGGCTCTCCACCTGTCTTCAAGGCGCGGTACGTTGCTCGTGGCTTCAGTCAGCGGCAGGGAGTTGACTACTTTCAGACCTTCTCTCCCACCCCGAAGATGACCACTCTTCGGGTTCTGCTGCACATAGCCGCTCAGCGCGACTACGAGCTTCACTCTCTCGACTTCAGCACTGCGTTCCTGTAGGGTAGCCTGCACGAGGAGATCTGGCTGCGCCGTCCGCCTGGCTTCACTGGGACTTTCCCTCCTGGCACCCAGTGGAGCCTCCGACGGCCAGTCTACGGTCTCCGCCAGGCACCGCATGAGTGGCACGACACACTAAGGACTACGCTTGCGGCTCTTGGGTTTGCTCCTTCTACTGCTGACCCGTCGCTGTTTCTGCGCACCGACACTTCACTGCCGCC